TAGGAAGAGGGAATCCGATTAGCCAATAATGGTATACCATGTGATATATTAAACTATCTGAAACAATCTGAATTTAAATACCCACAACAACTGCTCATGGACTGATAAAGAATTATCTCTGACTGCACTTACAAATCATTTTGAATAACTAATGCAGAATCACTTGAACCTGCTCATGAACAGGAGGATTTAAATTGAACTGAATGAATTATTTAATACAAGGAGCTCACACAGCATTTGTAAACAGTGGTGTATCCTAAGCGCTATTGCTGCATCATTTGTAACAAGATGTACAAACAACACATACGAATGGGGACTCTAAACTGAAAGCTCATCTTGAACTAGGGGGAGCTATACAGCAGGTTTAAATTTCTATGTGAGCTGGGGCAACTTCAGAACTCTTGAAATAAATGCATCAGGGAAAAGTGTTTTTATAAACTCCACGGTTCTTAGAGAGAACAGCCTGGAAGGTTTTGAAATTTGTATTGGTCAAATAGGAGATTGTTTACTGCTGCAAAAGGAATTCACTGTTATTAAAGAAGAAACATTTACATCCAAAATACCTCAATGTTTTTATCTAGATAAGAAAAAGGCAATTTCTAAAACTTGTGTTTTGCTCTCTTTTTCTGCACTAGCTCATTTTGAATGTTATTTTTTGCAAATGTATATTAGTATTGGTCAATGCCCTACCTCAATTGTCACATTTAGTTACCAGACATAAAAATGCCACAAGTAGCTCATGCCATGCAGTTCTGCCAGTGCCTCACAACCTTGATAATAAGACTTGCACTGGAAGGGAGGCTGTGAAGGGATCCCTGCCAAGTAGCTACAGGCTGCAATCTACTGGCTGCATCTTGTATGAGCATCCTGAGCTTACTCCAAGCTCCGAGTTCAGTTTTCCTCTCAACATCATGCTTTTATATGGAAGACTTGAGACAAAGGTGTTATAAATCTCTATTAATTAAGTGAGTTTTGAAGATCTGTGTTTTGAAACTTATATTGGTGAAATAGGAGGTTCTTGTTTACTGCTGTGTTTAAATGTAGCCATCTTTTGAATATCTGCGTTTAAATGTAGTCATGGGGCACTTTAGCCAATGTCAGGGGAATGCCAGCGAAAACTTACACTAAACATCCTGTCTGTGGAGACATGAAAGTTAAACCTTTCCTACCTATATCAAGGGAACATCATAGCAAAATGGCAGTTCAGGGAGCAATGAAGTCTTTTCATCAGATAAGCATTTTGGAGGCTACTTGTTTGACTGTGTAACCCCTCATGCTTTTTGAGGGTGAGACAGGGTTGGATTTCCTCCATGTATCATCATAATGTTTTGCTAAAGCAATGCTGTGATTAAAAGCACAGATTTCTTCATTCATTGTACAGGAATATCCTGTAACTTCAGAGGAGTGTTAGCAACAGGAATGTTAAGGGTGTTTTTGAGACCACTACACCACAATATACGGTGAGATTATCAGTAGATTATTTCTCTAGGGGGTAGTATCACACGCAGTATCACAGTATCACAGTATGCTAGAGATTGAAAGGGACCTCAAAAGATCATCTAGTCCAATCCCCCTGCCGGAGCAGGAACACCTAGATAAGGTTACACAGGAATGTGTCCAGGCGGGTTTTGAATGTCTCCAGGGAAGGAGACTCCACAACCTCCCTGGGCAGCCTGTTCCAGTGTTCTGTCACCCTCACTGAGAAGAAGTTTCTTCTCAAGTTTAAGTGGAACCTCTTGTGTTCCAGTTTGTATCCATTACCCCTTGTCCTATCATTGTTTGCCACTGAGTAGGGCCTGGCTCCATCCTCGAGACACTCCCCCTTTATATATTTATATACACTAATAAGGTCACCCCTCAGTCTCCTCTTCTCCAAACTATAGAGACCCAGCTTCCTCAGTCTTTCCTCATAAGGGAGATGCTCCACTCCCTTAATCATCTTTGTTGCCCTGCGCTGGACTCTCTCCAGCAGCTCCCTGTGCTTCTTGAACTGAGGGGCCCAGAACTGGACACAATATTCCAGATGGGGTCTCACCAGGGCAGAGTAGAGGGGAAGGAGGACCTCTCTCGACCAACTAACCACCCCTCTTCTAATACACCCCAGGATGCCATTGACCTTCTTGGCCACAAGGGCACAGTGTTGGCTCATGGTCATCCTGTCGTCCACTAGGACCCCCAGGTCCCTCTCCCCTACACTGCTCTCTAGCAGGTCGTTTCCCAACCTATACTGGAACCTGGGGTTGTTCCTGCCCAGATGCAGGACTCTACACTTTCCCTTGTTATATTTCATCCAGTTATTCCCTGCCCAACTCTCCAGCCTGTCCAGGTCTCGCTGGATGGCAGCACAGCCTTCTGGCGTGTCAGCCACTCCTCCCAGCTTAGCGTCATCAGCAAACTTGCTGGTCGTACACTCAATTCCCTCATCTAAATCGTTGATGAATATATTAAACAATACCGGTCCCAGTACTGACCCTTGAGGCACTCCACTAGTTACAGGCAGCCCCATAGACTACAACTCTCTGGCTTCTCTCCTCCAGCCAGTTCACAGTCCACCTCACTACCTGATCATCCAGACCACACTTCCTCAATTTAGCTGTGAGGATGCTGTGGGAGACTGTGTCAAATGCGTTGCTAAAGTCAAGGTAGGCCACATCCACCGCTCTGCCATCATCCATCCACCGTGTTATTTCCTCATAAAAGGCTAAGAGATTGGTCAAACATGATTTCCCCTTGGTGAAGCCATGTTGATGTTGACTGCCCCTCATAACCCTCTTATCCTTGATATGCCTTAAGATGGCACCAAGGACAAGGTGTTCCATCACTTTCCCAGGGATGGAGGTGAGGCTGACCGGTCTATAGTTACCCGGGTCCTCCTTCTTGCCCTTTTTGAAGACTGGAGTGACATTTGCTTTCCTCCAGTCCTCAGGCACCTCTCCCGTTTCCCAAGACTTGGTAAAGATGATGGAGAGTGGTCTAGCAATGACTTCCGCCAGTTCCCTCAGCACCCACGGGTGCATCCCATCTGGACCCATGGATTTATGGATGTCCAGATTGCTCAACTGGTCTCTAACCCAGTCCTCATCGACTAAGGCAAACCGTTCCGTCGACCTGACTTCATCTAAGGTCTCCGGGGTACAGGGCTCTTCAGGACTGCCTGCAGCAGAGTAGACAGAGACAAAGGCATTCAGTAACTCTGCCATCTCTGCATCTTCTGTCACCAGGGCACCCATCCCGTTCATCAGTGGGCCTACATTGCCTCTGGTGTTAGTTTTATCTGCCATGTATTTGAAAAAGCTCTTTTTGCTGTCCTTGACCCTTCTCACCAGGTTTAATTCTAAGGAGGCCTTAGTCATCCTAGCTGCCTTCCTACATCCTCTAGCAGCAGCCTTATATTCCTCCCAAGTGGCCACCCCTCCTTCCATGACCTGTAAACTCTCCTCTTCCACTTGAGCATACCCAGCAATTCCCTATTTAGCCACGCAGGTCTCTTGGCCCTCTTCCTTGACTTCCTACGTGTCGGGATGTTCTGATCTTGAGCTCGGAAAAAGCAATCCTTGAATGCCAACCAACTATCTTGGGCCCCTTTACCTTCAAGCAGCCTTGCCCATGGGATTTCCCCCAGCAATTGCTTGAAAAGGCCAAAGTTTGCCCTGCTAAAGTCCAGGGTTGCGATTCTACTTGGTATTCTACTAGTCCTACCACACAAGATCCTGAACTTCACCATCTCGTGGTCGCTGCAACCAAGGCAGCCCTCAACCCTTACTGCTTCAACCAGATCCTCCTTGTTAGTGAGGATGAGATCCAGCAGCACTCCTCTCCTGGTCGGCTCATCCACCATTTGCAGGAGGAAGTTATCATCCACACACTGGAGGAACCTCCTGGACTGTGGCTGGGTTGCCGAGTGGTCCTTCCAGCAAACATCAAGGAAGTTAAAATCCCCCATGACGACCACGGCCTGTGACTGTGAGGCCGCCCTCAGCTGCCTGTAGAAGGCCTCGTCAACTTCCTCACCCTGATCTGGTGGTCTGTAACAGACACCTACAACAGTATCGCCCATGCCAGCCTGCCCCTTAATTCTCACCCACAGACTCTCAACTCGCTCGTCATCTGTCCCCGGACAGAACTCGGTGCATTGTAGTTTCTCCTGCACATAAAGAGCAACCCCACCACCCCTCCTGGCTGGCCTGTCTCTCCTGAAAAGGACATAGCCCTCCATGACTGTATTCCAGCCATGTGAGCTGTCCCACCACGTCTCTGTAATTGCCACCAGGTCATAATCTCCTGATTTAACACAGGTTTCCAACTCCTCCTGCTTATTTCCCAAATATATCCTAAAATACTTAGTAAAGTGAAATTGTTTCACTGATTAAAGGCATAGGTGTGAAGAAGCCACTATTGGTTCCTCAATATTTGTCAACCAAGTATCATGTTTTGTATATACAAAACAAGCATGTTTTGTGTATTTGTGATATATATTTTTATATAAAACTTTTAAAGAGTCATGCTCTACATTTAGAAACAATAACTTCATCTCACTACAACTGTCTTGTTCAAACATGCATCCATGTATTGGCGTTTATCAACATTGATTTTGTAACAGCCATAGTTAGAAAAGACAGTTTATATAACAACTATACATACATGTTCCTCAAAAGTTGTACATGAGCAGACAGAGGAATTTACAGCACATATTTGTAATACATCACCATCAGGTTAATACGCCTAGGTTCATTATTTTTTTGTGTGTGGCTATCCTGAATCTTCTCAGCAGAGTTGTTAAACACTTTTTAAATTTAAATTTTAAATTTAGATTTTAAATTTAAATTTTAAATTTAGATTTTAAATTTAAAAGGAAAGCCATTAATGACCACAGCTCTTTGCTTCAGAGGATTTAAGATCAGGCCTTGGATAGGAAAACTGTGAGTCTGGAATCATGATACGTTTTTATCAGAGTACAGTACTCTATGACCAGGTTCTTCAGTTATTTCACGCATGGAGAGTTCAATGTTAAGTACTAGATTTACTTATTTGAGGATGTTTCGTCTTACACAGGATTTTGATATAGCCGAGTGATACAGCAAGGCACTGAAATCACGGTACAAATTCAAATTATACTTAGCAGAATACAGCAATTGACTATACAGATGAATCACAGTACAAACATGATTCTTGTTACTAGTCTCATAACATATGCTCACAATGCTGGGCATTCCCAGTTGCTGGGAAAGAAAGTGAGCTAAACCCAGTTCAAGCCTTTCTCTCTTCAAACTTCTTTGTTAGTTGCTCAGCTTTGATACTGTCTTGGATTGAGTCAGGTATACACTCCTCTGTGCTTGTCTGGCCGTCTTGGGAAGACACTCTTTTGCTCCAGTTTTGATTAACTGTTTGAGAACAAGCATTCAAACAACCAGCTGATTGATGCAACTGACATAGCCATTTATCTGAAACAAAGGCTGCTCTCTGGTCACTTTTGTAGTAAATTCAGCTTTCTTTGCAACAGTGATAGTGGATTTTCCCTGAATCAGGTGGGGAAGTGTCTGTGTAATAACGCCTAACATATTTTCAGATGCAGGCAGAAGATACATTTACATGGAAAATTTTGGAAAACAACCCATATATTTTTTTACTGGTAGAGGTGTTTCATAGTGAGATATGTTATGTATCTTCTGCAGAGAAGAGCTTATTGCCACAGTGGTATTTTTCTTGTATGTGAATCTCCAGTTTAAAATCTTTTGTCCTTTCTAAAGTCAATCACAAAGGGCCAGTTAAGGTCATTAGAGAAAGTTTTTAGTACTTAAACAACTTATCACTAAGATACAAGACGTTCATCTAAGCAATGAATCCTCCTGGAAGCACACCTACCATTGGAATCTAATGTTCACTAATATAGAAACTTGGGTAGAATTTAACTTAGCCCCTTGGAGATTTTCTGCTTTAAAAAAAAATATTTTTCATCTACAGTTGAAAAATTTTCCTGTTGCAGACAGAGCTGAACTTCATTCACGTGAATGCCCTTTTGTTTATTTGCCTGGGAATAGGGCTTAATTACAAAACAAACAAACAAACAGAAAAATAGACTTGGGGCTCATTATGTCTTCATTATAAAGAAATATTGTATCAGATCTCTTGTAATTTTGTGTGGGATTAATAAACTCATAGTAGAAACCATGATGCATTTCAGCTTTAATAAGGAGTCTGTTACATTACAGTAAGAGAAACATAAATGCCACAGGTCAGATACAGCTGAAACAATGTATTTTATGCCATTGGCTTGTTTCAGATAATTGCTACCAACATTGCTGTGTATTAAGCGTGTGCTTTCAAACTGAAGCATACGTATGTCTTCAAGTTCCTCCTTCTCTCCAAAGCAGAAAAGTGATGCTTAAAAGTCTCGCTGTATTTATAGCTAGGTTTTGTCAGTGGAATTATGTTTGCTTTCCTGTGGCATGAATATCTAGTCCCAAAGTAGGAAAGCATTGTCCAGTGCTGCCCTTCTAGCAGCTGTCACCATGAAATGCTCAGGAATAATCATCTGCTGATGTGTGCAGTGAACTGATGAGACTTGAGGCTGTGGAGACAGTCTTGGAATTCTTCCGTGAACAGCCATTGAAACTGATGTCCTTTGGAGCTGCTCTTTTCTTACGGCTGGCATGGGTGTTGTCTCCGTCACTAGTGTCGAACACCACTGTCATGCTGGACTCCATTCTGGACACAGCATATAGGCTACTTTGCCGAGTGGGATGAAATCTAGCTGCTTTGAGCTCTAGCTCGTCATAGCTGGACATCTCAATGAAGGGGCACCAACGGAAAGCTTGTTTGAAGCCAGCTCGGAACCTGGAAGGAAAGATGTTTGGTGAAAGCCTGTGTTGTGAGCCAGCCACAGGCCTTCACCTCAAAATATATATTGTGCTGACAGGACACTGACTTGGCTGATTATCTTGTGCCTAATCCTCTTAGTGGTGAACTTAGTGGGAGTTTCCTTGACAAAAGTCTGAGTAAGGTAAAAAGAAGCTACTGGTAACAGCTCATTTCTGTTTTGGATTTTCAATATACTTTCCCTACATTTTAACATTGGTGTTTTCCTTGTACTCAATTTCCCTTCCTTTGCCTGAATAAGCAAACACCAGCTTTCACAGCACTGTCTTCACAGAAATTATTTTGGTTTGAGCTGTGAAGAAATCTGCACCTATATTTTCATCTTCTTTCAGCAAGAAACTTTATAGCATTCTTTTCTGTAAAATACCATCCCAGCTTCCAGATTCCGATGTCCCTTCTGTGTTTCCCTTTCTAACAGAGATGCTTAAATGGGAATAATGTAATGACTAATTGTTCATATCACATATTTGAAAATTATTTGTAATAACAAAAGAAGATCCTAGAAAGTTGAAAACTGAACATGAACAATGCATAAATGGGAATTTAGAGGCTTTAGCATATTAATGCTTGCAATGTTCAGAAGTGTATAATGTTATTTCAATTCAGAGGGACAGATTTACTATAAGGACTACTGCTACTTTTTGTGTGTATGCATTTCCAGAATAGAAGTTAAATGTTAGGTAAGCAATTTGCTGTATATTTATATGTAACCTTCAAAAGAGCACATTTTCACCTAGACCTAAAACTTACCAGACTTTTTCACTTTGTCTTGCTTCTATTGTTTCTGTTTCAATGATCAGCCGTGTTGTTTATTGGGCCTATAAGCTTTTTGGAGCAATGGTAAAGCTACCACAGTGATGACTACAGATAAAAAAATCAGATTGTTTTCAGTGAAAGTTGAATTGTCTCACAGAAATAACTTTCTTCCTCTTCCTTTTTCTCAGGTTTGTCACAGAGCTGTCATATGGTGACAAACGAGCAGGTAACTTGCTATTTAGGGTTTCTCTGTTCAGATGGAATTACAGAATTTGAAAAAAATACTGAAAGAACCTCTGATGGAAATGGGTTTATTAGTGAAGGAGACTGTAAAACCTAAATATCTTTAGGCTGTATTATTTTTTGTCTCACCTTCTCTTTCTTATTCAGGGCATGTTTTTTCTTCATCTTGAAATAATGCCCTCTTTGTCTAGATATATAAGCCTGGAAGACACATAACCCCAATTAGCCTGGAAGATGAGGCTGGGGATAGGTGGTGTAACTCCATCTCATGTTAGATCCAGTAGAGGTAACAATACTGCATGAATTGATCTGACTCCCAACAACAGGCTGTATTTTCCTGCTGCATGAATAGGAGGCAGGCGTTCTGGCTTCTTGATTTCAATATTGAGCATAATTATAAGAAAACTTTCACCAGTATTTCCTCCTTGCATTACATTCTGTACAAGATGACCTTTAATGTGTCTCAAAATTATGAAATGTTTGTTGATTATATTCTTTCATCCAGATGTTTAGTTTTGCACTTAAACACTGGTTGTACTAAAGTACGAGTGTCAATACAAGCCATATGAGACATTAACATTTTCTGAATAACATCTTTTGTGACTCTTCATAAAAAGTTTTTGAAGAAAATGGCAGCGTTTTAGAGGTTTTATGGTAGTAAATGATAAAATATGAGGCATGATCTTTCTTCGCCTTTGATTTTGCAGACATTGGACATCCAGAGAATTCTGGTTTCTGTTGAAATTAATAGGAAATTTGCCATTTGAGTTAGGGTATTGTTCTGGGATACTAGAACTTTACATCTTCTTTAAACAGTTGTAATCATCAAAAGGGGAAGAAGATTGTATGAAATAGAGCATTACCTTGACATTTTGAAAGACAATGCATGTTAGGCATCATAAGCTATTCTAATCAAGGAGGCAAAATCCAGTGTTTTTCCATCAATAAAAGCTTGCCATCATTTGGTCACTTCATTTTCAGTTAGACTCCTTTTCACAGGTATCGCATGATCCTTAGTGGGGTTTTATAAATATTCAACAAAATTGGTGTAAAACTTGTCAGCAATTAAACTTGACACTGGCTGTTCATTCAAAAGAGATTTCTAATAATGTTTAAATTACTTATTCAATACTGATTCATACTGACTCCATTATGAGAAGTAATACTGAAAAATAATATGGCTAGGATGACATTTGTTTAGATCCCGGTCCTACAAGCTGAAATCAAAAGCATGAGTTCATTCTGCAATCCAATAGTCTCAAACCGCCAAATATCTCTCCAAACTCAACAGCAATGCCTTTGAAATTCAGAGCAAAAGGTGTTGCTACACTGTAATTCAGTATGAAGTAATATTTGATTTAGTAGCCTGTTACAGACCTCAGAGCTTGGTAGATATCTAATGGTGAAGCATTACAGTACACAGTAAACCACATTTTATATTATATCCTTCCAGTACTGCAAAACAAATCTGTGGCTACCATTAGTTAGTGAACATACAGATTCCACTGTATATCATTAATGATTGTCTTTACTTATTTATTTTAGTGCTTTGCAAGCAAAAAAAATATTAAACTGCTATAAATTTTAAATTTTGCTGTATGGAAAGAGGAAGGGTTGGTTTCTGAATACTGAGTTTTGCTCTGAAATTAGACTAACATAACTACTGGAACTGGACATTTGGTTCTTGGGGTTAATTTCAAGTACAAATCTAAAGGAAAGGGGTTTTTTTTTTGTGCTTTGTTTTCTTTCCCACTAACTGAAAATTACTCAAGTGATTTTTTTTGTCTTTTATCCCATTTAAACCATTTATATTCTCGTTGAAGTTATGCATACCAACTCTTTCATAACCAGCTCTTACCTCTTATTAAGACAGCAGTAGATAATGGGATTGTACATTGTAGAGCTCATGGCGAGCCAAAAGCTGGCCAAATAGATTTGCTGAATGTATTTCCACCGATTTAATTGTTGGTAGATCCCAGTAACTATGAAGTAAATGTGGTACGGCAGCCAGCAGATGGCAAATGTCAGCACAACCACAATCATCATTTTTACCACCTGAAAGAAGGATGTAATAATGCTATTTAATAATATACATTAGATTTTTTTTTATTTGGACTAGCATTTCAACATCCATTAATGATTTTCTTGCATTTGATTAAAGTTAGTCAAAGCAAAGAATGAATATACTTTTACATAATTTCCCTTTTAATCTGACTCTCCTAAATTTCTTTTTCTTTTCTTTTTGTTTTTTTTTCCCTTGGCTGGAAATCCTCCTTTTCCTAAGAAAAATAACATGAAAATTTCTCTAACTTCATTTGTATTGATTCTTCCAAGAAAATGTATTTCCTTACTTGTATTTGGCATCTAAAATACTACTTTTTTCTGTGTACTTAATCATGAGATAAGGTTACAGGGTTCTTGGGACACCTCATTTTGGCCTTTATTGACCCTGATATCTTTCTCTGTTGTGGTCTGCAAGTGTATGGCTTATCCCCATTTATTAGATGTGATTTGAGTAAATACAAGGTTGTAGGAATTGAGCAACTGCAGTATCCTTTTTAATTTCAGAGGATAACAGTTTCCTTGGCTGGTGATCATTATTTGTTGTTTTCTGCAGGCATCATAACATCTGTTAGCTACCATAGTTTCCATTAAGCACAAATCAAAAAGAGCTCTGTTTTGTGCTTGAAACACAAGAAATTCCAAGTCACGTAAAACTTTCACTCCTGTCTTTCCCTCTTCAACTATGCCAAATACTAACTCAGCTGCCATTTTCAACCAATATGTCACACGTTTACACAACAGACTTTTTGTTTGTTTGTTTGTTTCGTGAGTAAAATGAAACCAGACATGATAGATCTGTGCTGGGATGTCTCTTGTTCATTTGTACGGTCAATACTGGGGAATAATAGGGATTGCTATCAATAGCTGTTTTGTTTTCATTTCTCTGCACAAGGTAGTGTTTGCTGATGCTTGTAGCTTTGCCAGGAAAAAAAGAAAAAAAAAGAAATAAAAAGAAGACATTTGCCATACCTGCATATCTTAGGTTGATATTTTTATAAAATTTCAAGTAATGTAATTAAATAATTTTACATATTTACATATAAATTTTATGGTGCCATCCATATTACATCTTCCTGTGGGAAACATAAAACAACTTTTCACTTAATATCTGACACCAGTTTACAAGCTTTCTGCTGGCTGGGTCTGTACTGTACAAGAGAATACTTATTATTACCAATACATATCATCACTTCAAGATGCAAAAGGTGCATCTGTCCACACAAACCCCAACATTATTGATATTTGGTTCTTCTAACGCACTTTTCCTCAGTTAACTGTAAATCATTGCAGAAGGAAGATTATAAGGGAAGGTAACACACCAAAACATAGTATCAGTTTCACCTTTGCTGTGTGTATGTCTGCATGTCTATATCTAGACATGCATAGATGTTCATACGACTGTATATAATAGGTATTTTTGGGCAAAGAACAAGTTGTGACTGTATGTGAATAGACATTTCTGGATTAAATTCTGTATCTGAAATTATAACACAAAAGTATGTTGGCAAATCACAGTGGATCATTAAATGGCATGTCTTTTCTACTCCTTTGGACATAGCTTCCATGGTTCTTCTGTGGGGATTTACACCTGTGCCTTGCATACATTGTATGGGTAGAAGACTTAACTCCATAGTTATACCACAGTACTTAAGCTCTCTGCAGCCAGTTCTTTATCCACCGAGTGGTCCACCCATCAAATTGATGTCTCTCCAATTTAGAGACAAGGATTTTGTGTGGGACAGTGTCGAGCACTTTGCACAAGTCCAGGTAGATGACATCAACTGCTCTACCCCGTCCATCAGTTCTGTAGAGTTGAATGTGTAAAGTGTGTTTTCCTGGAACAAAAAAGTGCTATTTTTTCCAGCAAAAAAGGTTGTTACGGAAAGTACGATGCACTCACTCATATATTATAAGAAAAAGGTAAGTGTGATGTTGCAAGTCTGTGTGGCATAAAGTCATTTGAAACACAGGGCAGTTACAGTTAAATTTGAACTTAACCACAGAAATAATGAGAGGAATGAAAAAGCACTAGTCTGTCTTTGTTTCATCCACTAAGAATGAATATATGTTGGCAGAAATAGAGGAAAAGAAGAATAAGAGGAGAATGAAAAGGAGGAAGGTTATTCCCAATTTCTTTTCCTCTTTCAGAGACAGGCACACATACTGTGCAACGCCATACCTTACAGTTCTTGCAGTTCTTGTCTGTACCTCTAATCCTTCCATTAAGTTTCATTTCTGGATGGTATCGATAACCATGAACAGAAACTGCCTTCAAGGTCTATAAACCCAGGGCACCTTTATTTTACTTGGTATAAATCCTGATGTATGAATGCCAGTAAATTATTAAGCTCAATTAGGAGACAGGGAAAATAAGCGAAAAAGGCCAAGTACAAATTTGCTGCAAAAGCTTTATTGTCTTTTCCCAGTACACTGTGATATTTCACTAAAAAATCTCCAATGACTCTTGCTGCAGAACTGCTTGTTCAGCTGCAGAGTTTAAAAGAGCGCCTCAATAGTTTTCGGTTTTGTTTTTGTTTTTGTTTTGCTTTGTTTTGTTTTTATGGTGGGTGGAGGACATAGACCTGTAGCTCTGACAATACAAAGTTCTTTGATTTTATTTCTTTTTAGTATGCCTGTTCTGTTTTTTGGTTTTTTTTTTTTTTGAGATATTACCATTTTTCAAATGCTTTCTCCTCTGTGTTGCATAGAATTCATTACTAAGGGTTTGCTTTTGAGGGTTACGAAATATTTCTAAAGCAAGCAAACCAGAAAATTACTGAATTCAGTAGTGCTTAATGTCTGACTCTGTTTCTGCCATCATTTTACCATGGAGTTTTCAAAAATTTATGATTACAGTGAACATCATCTATTGGTATCCCAGTGGCACCATTTTCCTCTGGTGTTCCGCTCAACCTCCTTTTGTGTATTATGGGCAGCATGGCCAGAGGAAAGAGTTTTTCCTCTGTTCCGGGACTTTGGTTAAAATGAATTGTACTGAGTCTCTTAGTCATGCAACCTTTAGGTGAGTCTTGAGGCTAGATTTGGCGTATGATGGAAAATCAAAGTGCTTTTTATTTTCATCAACATGTTCTGCTGATATTGATGTACTTCTGCCTATGTCTAAGAAAAACTATGTCTATAAAAAAAATTGATTTATGTGCTTTATAGTCTTGCCCATTTCTTTAAACCCTTCCTGAGTAAGAAGCATTCTTTCATTGTAAGGATGCAATCAGTAAATCCACTTCCTAATCCTGGGGACATGCATGGCACTTGTACACTAAGCACCAGAGAGAAGGGAAACATCACTATGTCTTCTGCTTCTCCACAATGTTTATTTGGAGTAAACAATCTTTTACAATAAAATTAAGATTCAAAGGTCTGTACTAGTGTGGAGAAAGGACTGATTTCTGAGATGCCAGGTGCTGCCGGTTTTCATATAATTTTGGCAAGGTCAAGGATTTTCTGTGCTATTTTAGCCCAGAGAAAAGATAGATTCTTAATAGCTGAAAGAGATGCACATTTAGAATGACAAATTATCAAACACCTTGGAAGTCTTTCAGTCAGGTAAGGAACTTATCAATTCCAATGCTCAACAAATAATTTTATTCTTCCAATTTATACTTTCTTTTTCTCAGTTACTTGAGATAAAGAAACTACTTTTCATTTCAGTTTGCATAATCCCTGGCTACAGACTGAACCCACAATCACTTACTTTGTTATTTAAGCTGTAATGTTGAAAAAGGTATTCTGTTCTAGTATGAAGTAGCTTTGAATCAGATTGCTGTCTTACAAATGCTAAAATGTGGGATCCCCCCAAAATCAAAACAATAGTGACATTTTTCATGAGCAGTCTTAGCTACTGGCTTTTTAAAATGATGCTTTTCTAATGTTGCATGGAACACAGCTCTGACAGTGACAGTCTTGAGACTGTCCTCATTTAATGTATCACAGAGGAGATAAAAACTGCTGGATTGGTACTGAGCTAGCTCTGGGGATTGTTTTACACTGTTGTGGGTAAGAGCATACTTGGAAAAAATCTGGGATTTACTGAACTAAGGACTAACAAAATAGGGCTTAATTCCCCAAATCAAAGGGAAGGGGTACCTTCCTGAGGGGAGCACATGTGCCTCTGTGTATGATTGAACAGTTCTGGAGCGGGCACCTTGTCGATATGTAAGCAAAGTGCTCCTACATTACCGTAGCAGTCATTTTTGTCCATGAAACACAAGCACAAATGAATCTACAAGGTAGAAATATTCATATGCCATGAATAATCAACTGGTGGGCAAGGTCTGTGACAATGTAAGTCTTTTCCATAGTCTGCTGTTACATGGCTGATCTGGATGAACTGCAAACCAGATGCTTTCCCTCTCTATCTGTGTGCTCCAGGGTTTGGTTCTCTTTGCATACATAACATGGAGAAGTGTATATTCAGATGTGCAGCCTTAGTAGACCATTACCTGAATAAAGGCCAAAAAATGCTGTGTTTATTACTGTCTGACTTTTAAAATACATGCGTAGGTGGTGATTCAGTATAGACTAGGGCATCAGCTGTGAAGATTTGGCTGTCCCTTGAAGTCTGTAGCACAAAGCTGTGTAGAGTAGTGGATTGCAGCTCGTGTTTTTAATAGAGTTTAGGATAGTCAAGTTATATTGACTTTCTGTTATATTAAACAGTTTGACTCATTAATGCCATTTTGAAAATGAAATATAGCATATGTAAGTTATTGGAGATTGAAATGCTGGTCTTTGTGCTGGGAATAAGATAACGTTAAGAGAAAAATACATGTGAGTAACCACATGTGAACTGTTCATGCAGCAGTTCTTAGAGAGATCATTTGCTCAGATCCTGTCCTGTTCCTTACTTCCATAACCTATGAAAGAGGGAAATTGTTTTATGTAAGTATTTCAGAAAATTATCTAAAACTGTTTGGATGCCTTTTTGTAATATTTACTTGTAGTTCTGGAAGAGTTCACCTGGATATTTCTGTTTATCTAGTAAAAGCTTTTTACACACAGTAATTTTGAGTGATTTTTGAATTTACATATGACTGTTCTGACCCTGGCTTGGAAAAGCATGTCCTGCCGTCTTACTTGATTTGGCTTCTCACACTGTGTGATATTTCAAATTCATATTCAAAAGTGGCTCTCATGATATCATTATTCCTACAGTCCCATAGTGTTTTGAATAGTATTTTCTGTTCAGATGGAAGTCTAAAGTTATCTACTTTTTCATTTTCTCCTCCACTGTGTTGCATATACTAACATATATTAACTGATTAGATAGATGCATTTGATGGTAAATGGATATGGGATGTCTACTTCTGCTGTCAAAATATATATATATATATGTATATATATATATAAAACTTTGAAAACTGCCTTATGCACTTAGGCTGTAAACCTTGACCATCTCCTTAGTGAGTCCTGTAATACTGTGAGTCACTAGAGTATATACAGGGTTTTTTTCTGTTTTTACAAGCAAATTTGAAAAACAATTTTAACATTAGAAAAATGTGGCCTTTAATAAATCATTATCAGAGTAAGAAGTTGAAATGACACCTCAAGCTGACAGAAGCTTATGTATGGAGGAATGAAAATTGCTGAAAAAGGTGCACAGTGATATATTATCATAAAGTTAATAGAGGTAAGGGGAACTGTAAAGAAAAGAAATAGAAGTTGAAAGAGTATTTTCTGTTCTTCTGTATTCTTCGTTTTGGGACAAGGCAATGGCATGTGCACACTGTTTCAGAACATGTGCACATGTTTCAGAAAACAGTTGTATCAGAACTGCATCTCTTGACAAAGACAACAGTAACTGATTGATTTTATTTACAGTACATGATTATTCCCTCTTACAGGGTAAGTAAAGTTGGAAGAGGGATTGGAACAGATTAGTTATTAATAAAAAGAGAAGGTGGAGACAACATCTGTGAGCAAGTCTAATTATTTGCAGTGAATATAAAAAACACTATGGCCTAGTAAAATCTGATAGTAATGTTATAAACCACCTATGTAAACTTAGTCACATATGACAGTATTGAAACTACAATTGAAAATTAGAACTGAAGGAGAATAAATGATGTTCAGCTGGACATCAGTGAGTCTCATGCCAGGAGCTTTAAGAAGGGTTAATGCCTGCAAAGTCCCCACATGTAGTGAAAGTTCAGAGGTTTGTCAGGCAACTTTAAGTGGGTCAGTCCCTGAGACTTTTGATCTTTCACAAAAAATAAAAAAGTATTGGTATTAGTCTCTGGCAGTCCTGAATCTCTAAAAATTTCAAGTCTTTGACCCTTAAAAATATTAAGTATGACTTTGCGTTGCCCAACCTGTAGTGTGTATGGTGAAATTCTTTGAATCCTTTCCTCTTTGATGTTGGTTTCAGAAGGATTCAGGGTACGTATGGAGTCACACATAAGGAGAAATGAGACTGCCTATCAAACTACTAACAACTTTCTCAAGCTTCAAATCTATTGGAAAATATTGTTGCTTCTTTTCTTCCGTTCACTGCCTTCTCTAACATTATATACCATTTCAAACAATCCTAACCAAACATCCTCTGTACTGTATCATTGCAGAAAATGAAACATGCAGTCAGCTATTTTGTATTTCTCCTTCATTACAGGTGCACAGACTTTCCGTATGTCTTGATATCTGCATGCAAAATAGCAAAAAACCCCAGATGATTTCTTTGTTTGAATAAAGGAAAAGAAATAGCTCTATTATCAGAGGCAGGATGGATTATAGCTTTATTTGGATTCCAGTCTATCATCTTTCCAAATACCGGGTATTTCATAAATCCTGCTGGAGAGCACAGCAGTGGAACTGAAGAGCTGTCATGTAGCTCTACCAATAAAGTCACTGATGCAGTTACAATATATCTGCCCATAATTTAATCCCCTTGTTCCATGTGTTGAAGGCATGCATTCCAGTACTCTCATCCTTTAATTAAGGATGCTACTCCTTGTCTCTTGACAGTTCTTCACTGACTGGAAGGACACTATTGGTGCTAGCACACTTAATTGATGAGTGAAATCTTTTCCTGCTTATGCTCTGTAGGAAATGTAATATTGTAACTTTGAAAATACACTTTCGGGTAAGTGACAACAGGCATGGCAAAGACTATAATGATAATGTTGGACTTCTATGTATTATGGTAAAGAGAAAATGTTGATCTTTTAAAATGCTTTAGAATTTCTGGAAATTAGTGCAATAATTTCATTTTGGGACAAATATGTAAAGCACATGAAAAATCATTCTGACTTTTCATCATTTTCTATCTGTTCACATTCTAAATAATCTTTAAGCTGTTACAAAGCAATAGTGGTGATAATTCTAGTCCAGCTGCATTTTACTTAAGAGAGGCTAGCATTTTGTCCTCTTAAAAAAGCTATGTAAAAGCAAAAATAAATAACACCTTTGGTTTCATAGGACTCATTGCACATCATACTGCAAAGCTGTCTAGGCATGTCTACCATTCTGACAACTGAAACTTGCCATAAAAATTTTGCGCTTGCCTCTTACGAATCTGAAGTTGTATGAATGAGAAATGATCCTAATCTTTCCCTTCATATATCCTCTGCTGTAACAACTTTTTCTGTGTAATATGTGGGTAAAAACACTTTAATGTTGCTGGCAGTGTCCTGTAAGAAATTAAAACATCAGCGTCCTCCAGTATTTGCAGAAGATCCCTATTGTCTCAGAACCCAATATGCTGCAGTCTGCTATTGCTACAGCATCTTAGCCTATACCACTGTTCAAACATATTCACAGTGTCAGGAAGCAAACTGAGCAATTGAAAATGTGTTCATCATTGTGAGTTAGAAGTCCATGTTCACATTGCATTTTTTAAAATATGAAAGGTTAAATGCTTTTTAGTATGAAAAATTGTCAGGAATAAAAACCAGAAGGGCCGTCTTATTAAAGAAGAAAGTTGTTTTAAGAAAAAGAACATTATAAGAAAGAAACTTTAATGGCACTGTGACATCATGAAAACTGAACTGGAAATAGTCAAATAATCAGTTCATAAGGAATCCACAGTCTTGTTAGATTAGGCAAGACTTACAGTGAAAAAGAAAGAAAGTAATTGGTTAAAAATAATTTCTATCTCCCACCAAAGGTTATTGATTTAAAACCTAAAATACCTAATATAAGCAGGCCAATCAGCACTCATCTCGAAGCTGAATGGGCTTTAATCTACTGAAAATTACAGCAAGATTCACTTTCCTTTCAGTAGGATGAGACCCTGGCTGAAGAGGAGCTAAACGTTCAGTAGTCCATTGTTCAAAAATCAGTATTTTAGCTCTGTAAAGACTAAATATTTGGGCTTAGTTTCCACATATCAGACACAGTATATACTGCTATATGTGGAGTAAAAAGTTAAAATCAAACCTTTACTTAATGGTGAACAAAGGTTACAAAAAACCCCACCAGCTAATGAACATAGAAGGCAATTTGTCAAACTTAATCAATTTTTTTTTCATAAAAGTAGATTTCTCATTACTCTTATTTCAAGTGACTTGGTGTTTCTGAAGGTATACGCTGTGATACTTTGCAACACAATTGCAGATGATGTTATCAGGGTTCACTTATAGAATCATAGAATCATAGAATAGTTAGGGTTGGAAGGGACCTTAAGATCATCCAGTTCCAACCCCCCCGCCATGGGCAGGGGCACCTCACACTAAATCATATCACCCAAGGCCTCGTCCAACCTGGTCTTGAACACTGCCAGGGATGGAGCATTCACAACCTCCCTGGGCAACCTATTCCAGCGCCTCACCACCCTAACAGGAAAGAATTTCCTTCTTATATCCAGCCTAAACTTCCCCTGTTTAAGTTTTAACCCATTACCCCTTGTCCTATCACTACAGTCCCTAACGTAGAATCCCTCCCCAGCATCCCTATAGGCCCCCTTCAGATGCTGGAAGGCTGCTATGAGGTCTCCACGCAGCCTTCTCTTCTCCAGGCTGAACAGCCCCAACATTCTCAGCCTGTCTTCATATGGGAGGTGCTCCAGTTCCCTGATCATCCTCGTGGCCCTTCTCTGGACTTGTTCCAACAGTTCCATGTCCTTTTTATGTTGAGGACACCAGAACTGCACACAATACTTCAGGTGAGGTCTCACAAGAGCAGAGTAGAGGGGCAGGATCACCTCCTTTGACCTGCTGGTCACGCTCCTTTTGATGCAGCCCAGGATACGGTTGGATTTCTGGGCTGCAAGCACACACTGCCGGCTCATGTTCATTTTCTCATCAAAACTTAGTGAGTTTAATGGAACAGTACCTTTCTCTTAGCTTTGAGCTGCTCCTGATATTTGTCGGATGTGTCGCCTGGTATTTCTCCTCCCCAGAGCGTAATTCCCACTATGGAATAAGTGATGCCCATGACAAGCAGTGGAAAGCAGTAGACCAGGACAATCACAATAACATGATACCTGCAATAAAAAACATAAAGCTGGTAAGCACTTTCAGAGGAGCCATGCCAATGGAATGGGCTGCTAGAAGACAAGAGTAGCACAAAGCATGTTTTATATTGACTGGGTAGTTGCCGGTGATTTCACTGTCTTTTTGAAAGTCTTGAATTGCACTGCAAACTTGTTTACATTTTAATGCAAGAGCTTTATGGGGTTTCTAGAGCTGATTTTGAATTTGCACTATCATAAATTAAGAAGGACTCTAAAGTTATCATAATTAGTGACTGAAAAATAAGGTATGTTTGTCCATAACCAGCTGAATTGATTTTTAATTATTGCACAGCCAGGTATCCTAAGGACAAGGTAGGCATTTTGTGCTCTGGACCATAAATGAAAGAGGAAAATAAGTATTTAAATGGTATACTTATGCAACGTGTTATCCGACGTACTTATGGTTTAACCACAGGTGGTTTAACTACACAAGCCACTCACTCACTTCTGGCCAGCTCACCCAGTTTATACACTGGGAATGAAGTGCTGTGGTATGGAATACCCCTTTGGCTAGTTTGGGTCAAGTGTCCTGTCTCTGCTTCCTTCCAGCTTCTTGTGCCCCTCCTCGCTGGCAGAGCATGAGAGACTGAAAAGTCCTTGATCAGGGTAAGTACTAGTTAGCAACAGCTAAAACATTGGTGCGTTACCAGCACTGTTCTCAGACTAGAGCCGAGACAGCGCTGCACCAGCTACTAGAAAGAAAATTAACTCTATCCCAGCAAAACCCAGGACAGTATTGCATATAGCAGATCTGTTGCACGTAGGAAATATCTGCTGCCTATGTGCAACATAGTCATCTCTGCTGATATAAGCACTAGGGAAAAAATGGTAACTACTCTTGCTTCCTGGTTGAATGCCATCCTCAGATAAAATCCTAGTGAACGATCAGTGAAGAATCCCTACCCATCGCTGAGAGTGATCTTCCTGCCCTAAAGAGAAATATTTCTGTGTTCCTCCTAAGGTGATACAAATTATATATGTGACCGGGGTGGGCCCTTTCACATGCCTGAAAGAGGGCAAAAAGTAAAATTTGATTCTGGATGATCACGCAGGCTTTCAGCCTTAAACACAGAGTTCATCTTAAATGCCAGTAATGACATGAAAGGGCAGATAATGTTTCTATGGCTGGGTAACCACTTACTCCTAATTCTGCCAGAGGCAAAATAGGATAGATTCAATTTAACTGACTGTTATTCTACACTTTCAGAAACTGGAACCAGTTACAGTTTTTACAATTTTCTTATTTGGACTGCTATAAGTAATTGTGATAATGTAACAGAATGAAGTGGGAAAATCCAGTCCTCTCACAAAGAGATCCAGATGAAAAAAACTGATTAGGACAAGGAGAGGCTGGAAATACATTTTTTCCTATCTAGGATGAAAAGGAAGGTTGCTTTGAATTGCCTACACTATCCCCATTTCTTACTATTTCTGTCTGTGTAGAAGTAGCCATCTTAAGTGAAGCAGTGATGGCAAACATGCAGCATGGGATGAGGAACACATGGAAGCGGAAGAGAATAGAGGTATTCCACTTATCACTTAAAATAATTCTATCTTTCTACATCCTAAAACTTGTTCTGCATTTCTCAGTGATCAGTTCTGTTAGTTATTCTGCATGCAGAGTATCTGCATGATACTCTACAACTTTTGCCAAGTCCATTGCAAGTGTAGACACCACCATGCACAAGTTTAAAAGAACAAAAGCTTACGTAAAGTGCTGTTTTGGACCCCCAGGCCACGCTACATAGCAAAGAGTTCTCCCAGGCATCACCTTGGTTATGGAGTATAGGCACTGGGGAAAGGCCAACAAGAAAGCCAAAGTCCATATGCTCCCAATGACCACCTTGGTAGCAGTTGCAGAGAGCCTAGGTTTCAAGGGATCAATAATGGCCATGTATCTGTAAAAGAAAGCAAAAACCTGTGCATAAGAAACCTTCAGAGATCAGGATGTATCTAAAATCAACCAAAGCTTAGGTTTGGGAGAAGGATAAGAGCAGAGATATTTATCTTCCTGGGTTTCTGATGGCATTGTGCTTTGTGAGTGGTTCAGCCCCTATGAAAGCTGGAAAAAGGTCCATTGAATATTATTTTAAAGCTGTGGGACACCTGGTTAACCAAATGTATATCAGTAGAGCAATTATCAAAGAGTTAATCCTGTTATTACACAACCTGATTGAAAAGGCAACAATACAGCTGGATCCTCTGTTACTCTGCTACATAATACAGGGTTTATCTCTAATTAAAAAGTTTACAGTCAAGCTGTCAGGATTATTTGTCATCTATTGAAAAGCTAGAGGAACTTGATAAGTCCACGTGCATCCATTTCAGTAAACACAGGCTGATTTTGGAACATCTGCCAAAGAGCCCCAGACCACAACAAATTCATACAGAGATGGAGAGAGGAACCTTATGAGCATTTCCTTGGGTAATGTAGAAATGAGAAAAGCACCAAGAGAAATAGATATATAAAGCATGAAAACATCTCACTTGACTTTTCAGTTCCTGTGATGTCAGGTCGGATAGCATTCTTTTTGCGGCTCTATAATTGTATGGGCAATCCATGTATGGTAATTTTAGAAGAACATGCAAACAAGAATTTAAAATTTTACTCTAATTACAGTTTAAAAGCTTAGGAAAAAGCACATCAGGAAGGCAACGAGACAGTAAACGAAAAACAGATCTTGTTTTCTGTCTTTCAATCTCTGTTATATATGCAAGGAACAAGGGAGACAGAAATTTTGTATCTTATATACTCCATATTGTATTTTCACATTTTTCTTAGCAAGACTACTGCTTTGATTTCTTGGCTAAACACTGAATTAACATATTTTTCCCCAACTTCTCTGATTACATGATTTTGTTTTATATAATGATGACCAAATAATGACTTACAGAATCATTAATTATGTTAATTAAATGGTAGCACTATTCTAAATTTCCTCCAGTATTAGGGGAATACTGATAAGTATCAGCCAGAATCACATTTAAAGGAATTTTTATACTTCCATAAAACCAGGGTGATTTTGGTTCTATGTGTGCCCATATTCTGTTACTTGATATAGCACACTGAATAACTAACTACAAATCCTTTAATCTGACATCCTAATGTTTTCCAAAACAATACAAGGAAATGATTTTTACATTAATGTTTTGCTTCAGATCCAGAGGGTTCCCAGGGTACATTAAAAAATCCTTTTATTCATGATTCATTCCATGCTGACTGTGAGTTAATGTAGCAGTTAATGGATCAGCAATTTAAATCAAGAAATTTCCATGGAAGTATTCAGTGTATCTGTGTTTATTCTGGAAACTGAATCTGAATGAAGATCTGCCCTTCTGCAGTCATTGGTAACACTGATATTCTACACTGTGTTTCCAAGCCATTGCTTTTCTAAAATCAGAATTAGAATAGTAATGATTTAGAAGCAGCTCAGGAATAACCAGGGAGGTCAGAAGGAAACTAACAAAATATTATTTTCTGTGTTTCCTTCTGGTTTTGTTTTGCTTGATTTTGTTTGTTATATTATATGAAAACACCTGAAGCAGGTAGGAAACTGGGGTGAGTATGAAAACCAGCTTGAATATTTTACCAATGAGAAAATAATTTCCAGTGAGAATTTGCCAGATTTCTAGGAGAATGTCTGGATCAGTTTCAACACTTTGTCATCAGCCATGGGGATTAGTACTAATTCTGGAAGAAGCAAACTTGTTGCCAAACAATCATTATGGCCTGTACACTTTCACTCTCTTTCACAGTACATGTCCAGTTATCTGATTATCTTTGACAAGATTATTGGGGTATGCCAGTGATCATAAATGTCCTCCAGTCTTCATGCCTGCTAACTGCCCCTGTCCCTGTCTATTACAGGTTTTAAATACAGTTAGAAAGTCTAAACCACACCAATTCCAGCCTACCTGTGCAGAGAAAATATTTCCAGAATTTTCCAGTATTGCTCCCCTCCTTGTGTCATTTATACCTTATAAAGGAATTTCAATAAGTAAAAGATGTACTATGGCTTGTCATCTACTCCTTCTCTGCATTTCTACCTCATATAAAGATGGCTCAGGATGAATTCAGAGACCATTTTCTGTATGGGAAATCGCATAGGCAGTAATAGCCATTTTTATGGAAGGACTGTAGGAAAAAAGGAAAAAAAACACTTTGTGTTATTAGGTTTTGTAGATTTTGAGGTATTGTTGGGACATTAGTTGTTGCTGTGGGGCTTAGAATTTATATAATCAGTTTAATTTACACTGACAGAGAATGAGTTATTCTGTAGGCAAGCAAGTATAAATTAGTAGATGCTATTCCAAAGTGACACAATATGTGATTATTATTTTTCTTGTCTGTGTTGTCGTATCGACATTCATAGACAAAAAGATTCCAAAGCCACTCATGATTTTTACATTTTGTCTTCTCATCTTGTGCCTTGGCTTTAGATTATGAGAAACCTTCTTACACTTTTAGATTACTGCTTGGGTCTGTGCTTCCAAATCCAGGCAGGATTTGAACTGAAATCCATTGAAATCAATGGACAAGCTACCAGCAATTTTAATTAATCCTTTTTGAGGATGAGTAAGTTGTGTTCTGCTGCAATCAGAAGAGTAGCAGTCATCTAAAATGAAGGAGAGTGCAACATGTCCTAATTGTTACAGGGCACACAATGTTCTAGGCAGACTTCCCCAGGATTTTTCTGTATAGACATTAGCTACAAGACAATAACTATAACATTTATAAGATAATGCTCCTGATAAAAATTTGTCCAAGTAATCATCTGCATCCATGTTTACCTGCTATCGAAAACAAATTTCATTCAGGATATTCCTACTTTTTTGACATTTCATACCTGAGACATAGTTAATTGCAGAAAAGATATTTGGTATAAAAAAAAATTCCATTTTAGTTAACCATCAAATATGTGATAAACCCAACATCTGTCATCTTAGATTTGCAACCTCTAGTAGACATGAGAACTGTGTTAATATCTTAAAACATGCAAATGCTGGCAGAAATAGTAATCTAAAACAACTGTTCATTTTCATTTGCTTTTACTACACTTTGGTATTTTTAACCATAGGGTAATTAGTTCCTTCTCATTTACCTGCTTTTTTGTTTGGTTGGTTAGTTGGGGTTTTTTTTACAGCTAAACCAGTACTTTTGATATTATATATTAACTATGGCATAGTTTTGTGTGCTGGGTGTCTGGGCCTGAGAAAGCAGCAGATCTCATAAATATAAACTTTAGGTGGATTGTTGCCTTCTATCCCCTAGTTCCCTTCTCCTCCAAAAAACAAGTGCAACTTGGTAATGAATATAAGTTGGTAGTCACAAGTCCTGTCTTTCAAATTGAGCTAGCTTGAGTGTTGGCTGCCTGTTGCTGTCCAAAATGCTTGATGATCTTTACCTGTAGTAGGTGGTAACCCATAATTCATCATTTTCACATGCTTGTGGGACTCCTAAGGCATCTTCTTCTAGCCTAGTATCATTCCTTCCAATTGCTAGTTTTCTTCAGATTGCACATTGACATTATTTTATGTGCTACTGTCAGATTTCTATTACATTCGTGTTGTTCTTATTCCCAATAGGCACCGGCAACTATTCCTTTTGGCTAAGAAAATATTCTGTTGGTTTATCTTCCTGTCTGGTAACTGCCCTTTAAAAATGTGCGTTGTTTGTGTGAAATGACTCCTACAGATGTACTGATGGAAATTTTTAACTATTGGCTGGCTGAGATGAAAAGCAGGCTACTTGTCTTTCTTGCTGAAATTTGAGTGATAAGCCAACAGTCTAGCTTTTGCACAAGACAGATGACAAAAGCATAGCAGGCAGTCATTCCAACAAACAAATGGGGAGGAGGTGGAGAAGCCTTGACCACTTCCTCGGTAATTCCTTTGTGCAGGAAGGACTTAGCTGATCAGAAAGCATTGGCAACTCTCTATTACTGAGCCTTTGCTAAGAGATTTAATTTAGTCTGATGTGCCAGTTCACTAACAATTACAATGAAGTATCTAACTTGTTCCCTAAGTGGCTTTTCTTGGAAACAAAATTGCTAAATTAACATAGTAAGATGCTGCTTCATAGCTGCAGTAGTAACACTCACTCAAATTTGCCATTTAAGTTTGGTAGCAATTTCCTAGAGAAGCCATCACTGCCATAATTAAGGACAGTGGAAAATGTAGAATGACTCTCAGCTGCAGGTTAAAAAACACCTCCATGGCTGAGCTGTCTGTGGTTGTTAATCTTTGCACCCAAAAGAAGCTTAGAAGAGAATTGAGTCCTTCCTGCACTGTTAACTGTCATTTGCAAAGGAGGCATACCTACTCCTGACTATAATTTTGTTTGCTGGAAAAGTCATCTTCCCATTACTGGTACCTAAGGATGATAAGTTGCTTGTCTCTTTAGGCTCAACCTGAAGGAGCAGTAGCTATTTTTTCCAGTTGGCCCTTGTCTTTGATATCTGTCCATTTTGGCCAGGATGTTTCCATCAGGAATGAAAGCTCCTGCCAGCACAGGCTAGAAGTTCTATGTGTAGGTGTTGCTCAGAAAATTAGTGAGGTGAGGAGGTTAAGTGTGGGGGAATATGTATGTATCATACAGGATATTGCCCCTGTATATTCTAATTACCTACAGCTGACAACTCTCTGTAATTTTTCATGGTGTAGCTCTGTTATTAGGGCTCATTTCCTTAATCTGTTTGATATCCTTTAATAGATTTTGTATGGCAAAGTGCCAGTCACAAGGGGGAGCAGCAGACACGCTGTCTGAATTGTGTTCTAAATGGTGCTGAACATGGTGTAGAAAAAAAAGGATTGTGTGAGTAGGCCAGGAATGAAGGGGAGAATGATGAGATACAGGATACGGAGCAGAAGCAGAAGAACTGAGACTGTGAAACAGTTT